TGGACTCCAGGCAGTGGGTGTGGTTTGGGCTTTGTTTCCATGATGACTGACAGCCTTGGAGACCCTCTGGGGCAGTTCCATTCTGTCCTCTAGGGAGGCTGTGGGTTGGCGGTAGGATAATGGGCCCAGGGAGGCTGCATCTATGAAGCGCTCCACCAGGCTTATTGAGAGGGACCCACTCACACTCCCCACCCCCCAGTTGTACTTGGAATATTAGTTCCAGGCACAGGCTCACAGTTCCTTCCTGAGCAGAGAGGCCTGTTCTTGTCATATGTCAGATCCCCCAAAGGGGACCTAAACTGCTGTGTCCCACTCCTGGGCGGGGGTGCTCATGTTATCAAGGGGCTGCCCTGCCCCACCCCAGAGGCCCCTGGTAGGCCTGTCCAGCGTGTGACCAGCCCCCTGCCCTCTGCCGCAGCCATGAACACCGTTCTGCTCAGCAACCTGTTCTCCCTGCCACGCATCGTCTACGCCATGGCTACCGACGGACTCTTCTTCCAGGTGTTTGCCCGGGTGCACCCCCGGACTCAGGTGCCCATGGTGGGCATCCTGGTATTTGGGGTCCTCATGGCTTTTCTGGCAATGCTGCTGGACCTCGAGGCACTGGTCCAGTTCTTGTCCATCGGCACCCTGCTGGCCTACACCTTTGTGGCCACCAGTGTCATCGTGCTGCGCTTCCAGAAGACCTCCCCACCCAGCTCTCCAGGCCCATCCAGCCCAGGCCCCCTGACCAAGGAGCACGGCTCCTGCGCGGACCACCTGCAGCTGGTGGGCCCCGAGCAGGCCTCAGCCCCCGAGCCCGGGCAGCTGCGACCAGCCCTGAGACCCTACCTGGGTTTCCTGGGTAGGTACAGCCCTGGAGCTGCCGTGGCGTGGGCACTCAGCATCCTGGTGGCCTCGGCCATCACCTTGGGCTGCGTGCTGGTCTTCGGGGACTCAGCCCTGTACCTCCCGCACTGGGCCTATATCCTGCTGCTCCTACTCAGTGGTGGCGTATTTCTGCTCAGTCTCTCCGTCCTAGGAGCCCACCAGCAACAGCACCGGCAGGACACCTTCCAGGTACCTCCCCCAGCCAGCTCCCACCGCCCTGAATTCAGAGGTCTTGACCTCTGTCTCCTTTGCTAGCTTAGAAGGAACAAAGGTCCAGAAGGCTAGGAGGCCAGTATGTGTAGCCCCCTGCTAAAACGGCAAGGAGGCCACATGTTCTGACCTCCTCTAACCCTCCAAGAGGAAAACAGGATTACCAGCAGTAACCCAAGGCCTATTCCTGCCAGGCCAGACATGCTGCCTCCCCCCTCCAGCCCTTGCTCCAACCGTTCCTCCCAAAGCACCCACCACCTCCCTCCTGGGTTCGATAATTCACTGCAGTGGCCACACAGAGCTCACAGATTACGGGGTTTATTAGGGAAGCACCAGGCTACAACTCAAGTTCAGGAAGAACGCTCAGTCTCTCTCCCAGCCCACCGTGTCTCACAGTCTCTTTCCCAGCAGTGCTGGTCCCTCTGTGTCTCACTCAGCGATGCGTGTCTCTTGCGTCTCTTTCCCAGCAGCGCGTGTCTCTTTCCGGGGTGCGTGTCTCTTTCGGTAGCACATCTTCCTTCACCAGCAGTCAGAGAGAGTTCTGCCTCTAGGAGGCCTCCTTTTGAGCCCGGCAGGGTGGTCAGACTAGCCAGTCATAGCATCAGAACTCTAAGCACCTGAGAGAGAGTGGGCACCTCCCAGAACATTGTTTTGTGCCACTCCTAACAGAAATACTCCAGGTGGACAACTTCAGCAATCAGGAGCTCCTCAGTTGCTCATAGCAAATCCCACCTTGGAGTTTACAAAAACTTATGGGTAGAAAAGCCACACTAAGTAATTTACTACACTGCAACCCCTGTCTTTCTACCCACTGAGCAACCCCACAAAAAAAAAAAAAAAAACAACTGGGTGCTGTGGACTTACTCTGGTGGCGTAGTGCCTAAGGCATCTGACTGCTAACCAGAAAGCTGGTGGTTCAAACCCACCAGCCACTCCTCAGAAGATCGGGGAAGCTACTTCCATAGAGGGACCGTCTTGGAAACCAAGGAGGGGTTGCTATGAGTCGAATCGACTCAACAGCAGTGAGTTTGGGTTTTTTTTTTGGGGGGGGGAGCGATGCTGTGGAATCAGTTCTGACCCATGACGACCCCATATATTCAGAGAAGAGCTGTGTCCCACAGGGTTTTCAAGGTTGTGACCTTTCAGCAGCAGACAGCCAGGCCTTTCTCCCTGGGCACCTCTGAGCGAGCTCGACCTTTCGGTTAACAGCCGAGCATGTTCAGAGAGTCGCACCAACCGGACTCTGCAGAGTTGCAGAAAGCCTGTGGTTATTTGTGACGTCAGGCCTGGGGCTGGCAGATCTTTCTGGTAGCCCAGCCCCGCCCCACCCCACCCGTGTCTCTCAGATCCCCCTGGTGCCCCTGACACCAGCCCTGAGCATCCTTCTGAACGTCTGCCTTATGCTGAAGCTGAGCTACCTGACCTGGCTGCGTTTCTCCATCTGGCTGTTCGTTGGTGAGTGGGACCCGGCGTGAGCCTGGGGGTCAGGTCCCTGGTGGCTGAAGGAGGACGGGGGGGGGGAGGAGCTGCCCCCATCAGGCTTGTTGTGCCCCCCCTTGCAGGACTCGCCGTGTATTTCGGGTACGGCATCCGGCACAGCAAGGAGAACCTTCGGGAACCACTGGGGCTGACCGCCACTCGGTATGTGGTGTTCCCCAGTGGCAGCCTGCAGGGGGCCGTGCAGACCGTGCAGCCGTCCAGCCAGGTGCCCACCCCGGAAGAGCTCAACTGTATGGAGCAACCGGCCAGCCCGTGAAGGCCAGCTGCTGCCGCTCACGCCGTCCCCACCGCCAGGGATCGTAGCCTGTTGCTGGAGTTTGGATCTCAGGGAGTGGGGCCGTGGCTGAGCTGTCGTGGACCCTGCCCAGCACATTCCAGAGACTTAGGCAGGTGTGACCGTGGTGGGCTGGCAGAAGAGACCTGGGGTTGGTTTCAGGCCCACAATAATAACTTTTCGGCCGTCCACATGGCCTGCTGCTGTGTCCACTGTAGTGTTCTTTGTGGCCTCGAGTCCTCACCAACCCCCTGGGAACCAGGGGATTGTCCCCAACCCACACACTGAGGCCATGCAGGGGGCGGTGACACCTGCCTCCTGAGTTCCTCCTCTCAGGTAAGTGCCCTCTGCCCAGCCCGGCGGGGAGCCACACACACTAACACACACCCCTGCATGCACCAGGAGCAGCCTGCTTCCCCAGCGGCCGGGGGACCCCTGACTGGCTGCTGGGCTCCACTTCCAGGCTCCCTAAGTGTGTCCCGGGGATGGGTCTGGGAAGCAGAGGCTGGGCCCCAAGGAGGCCCCCTGGGAAGACTACAGATTCCTAGGGTCACCTGTGTTCCCAGAGCTCCTGGAGAACAAAGCGTGTCCCCAGAGCTTGCTCAGGGACATGGGCACATACACTCGTGGTCACATGCCCCCGCAGTCACAGGCCATGTGGCCCACATGGCTTCCTGGGCCCACACACATGGTGTTTCCAAATTCCAGTCCCTGTTCTGTTTTCTTACTGGCCTGCCACTCACTCTCCCACTCGCTCCGGCCATCAACCCAGGGCCTCGAGGTGAAGGTGCACAGGCCTTGTGTACCTTCTAGCCCATCTGGTAGCTGTAGGGCCATAGCACAGGGCTGTCCTGTGAAAATCCCAGGTGCCTCCTGTGTGTGCGCACACACACACACACACACACACACACCACACTGTGTTCCCCATCATTGTCTTCCATATGTTTCTTACGCCTACTCCTCCCCGTTCCTCATCTGCACAGATGACACAAGAAGTCGGTGGCTTTGGCAGGCTTTACTGCCCCACCCTCCAGCCCCCCTCCGGCAAAGCTGGGTCCGTGGCACTGCACTTTGAGGACCCAGGCTCATGGGCCACACTGTCCCCGCCCTGCCCCACTGAGCCCTCCTCCCTGGGGCCACCCTTCTGGGAACTGAGAGGCAGCAGGAACCCAAGGGCTTTGGAGAGGTGCTAGCCACGCCAGAGCCCCCAGCCCGGCCCCCCTCACCTGCTCCATGCTGCTCTATGACAAGCAGGCCATCAGGGGCCCAGGAGAAGGCAGCTCTCACTCCCCGGGGTGCATGTGCCCCCATCCCTGCCCCCACCCTGGAACCAAGGGAGGGCTTGATTCCTGCAGTTCACCATTCAGCTGATCATGAACTTGACTCTGGGGTCTGGGGCAATTTCCAGACAGCTAGACTCAACGGCAAACAACAACAACAACAACAGACCAAGTCCCAGGGCAGGTTGGAGAGCCTGAACCTCTCAAACACAAGTAGCTGGGGGCTGAGAGGGCCTGTGTCCCTACCAGCCCACTGCTGATCACGCCAGCCCATTGCTCCCAGGGATGGGGGTGCATGCACCCCAGGGAGGTGAGAGCTGCCTTCTCCTGGGCCCCTGATGGCCTGCTTGTCATAGAGTAGCATGGAGCAGGTGACCACTCATCTGCTGAAGGTCAAGGGCTGGGCCAAGGTAGAGAGAGGGGAGGGAGGGCTCCTAGGCTTGGCCCCTGGGCATGGCTTGGGCGGCCATGTCTGGCTGATGGCCGCCCTGGTTGTGTTCCCGAGAAGCCTGGTGGGAAGGTTAAGGGGTTGGCCTGGGGGGACCACTGACACTATCACCTCAGCTCCTGAGTCCTCTGCTTTGAGGATGCCATTGGCAAGGGTCCAGGGCACAGAACTGAGCAGACCCTTGCCCTGCCTGGGATCCGGGAAGAGACCCGTGGATGAGGCTCAAAGCTGAACTGGGATGGCCTGTAGGTGGCCCAGCTCTGAGGTGAAGACTACCCCGGCTTTGTCTCAGGCAAGAGCCCAGGGAGGGGCTGCTGAGGGGAGTCTCTACATATGAGGGGCCAGGAATTACAGCAGTCCACAGCAGCCTATGGGAGGGCCTGTGGCCAGCAGCTGGTGTGCAGGCCAGTGCAGGCCCCAGCAGGTCTGGAACCCTGCAGAGCTGTGCAAAGTTACCAGTCTTGCATCTGCCAGGCCCCAGGCTGGAGTTGGGGGCAGGGAGTGGTCCCGGGAGCTTGAGGGTGGGTTTCCCTTTCCTACCCCCCACCCTGGTCCTGTTGGGGTTTTATGCATGATGTCCCCAAGGCAGAACCCCAGCCTTCCTGAACCCCAACCCAGCAGGGAACAGCCACAGGCCTCAGGTAGGAGTCAGTGAGTGGGGCCCACCCATGCCAGTGCCCAAATGGGGCTGCCCCACTGTCAGCGTGGGTCTCCTCCCGGCAGTGATGGGACCTGGTGCTGGGCCATCTAAGGGGGACGTGAAAACCAGGTCGCTGCACACAGAGTTGGCCGTCACCTTCGGGGCTTTGGCCTGTAGAGGAGGACAGCAGGTCAGGGCTGGGGCCAACACACCATCCCACTGCAACAGAGTACAGCACCCGGCCAGTCTCAGCCTACCTCCTCATACTTGGTCCTCCAATAGAAGTGGGCTTCTCCGTCCACGTACAACAACAGCAGGTCACAGAGGAAGGTGACCTGGGAGAGGAGGGCTGATTCATGACCCAGCCCCCATCCTGCCCTCCAAGCCCTCTCACCCTGAGGCTCCACACACACACAGACACACACACACACACAGACACACACACACGGCACATGGTCCCACTCACCACGCCCAGCCACGCTGCTGCAGTGCCCAAGGTGATGACAGTGGGAATGAGCCCGAACTTCCCTGCCTAGGAGAGTGCCAGCTGAGTGATCCCGGTGCACCCCTGCAGCCCCATCCACCCACCCCTCATCCCCCTGGCCTGGCCCTACCTGTCCAGTGACAAGAATGTCAAATCGGATTCCATACAGCTTGAGCAGGCTCCGGGCCTCCACTCCAGGAGCCTTCCACCAGTGAGTGGCCGTCCTGGGACACAAGACAGCTCACAGGGTCAGCTCTGCCCACTCCCAGGCGAACCAGCCCTGCCAGGTCTCATACTACACTAGATCACAGAGCCATGAGTGTCACCCCTGGGTAATTGCTGAGGACACAGGCAGAAAGCGGGACGTACCTCTGGGGAGCTCCCTGCCTGCTGAAGGGACGGGAGGGTGGGGACATGGAGGATCCCTAAAGAGACAATGGCAGTGAGGCCTGGGGACAGGTGGGGGAACGAGGAAGGCTTCCAGGAGGGGAGGCGTTGAGGCTGGGCCTGGAAGAACGTGTGAGGATCTACATGGGAAAATAAGTCAATGAAAACCAATGAAGGAGAAGAACAAGATGGTGCCTGGCTACCACTGCAGACCACTCTGAAAGGATCACAGGGGAAGGTGCTGGGTAGAGTGGGAAAAAATTGTGAAAGAAAGCTCAAAACCATAGAAAAAGGGACGAGGCTTATGGGTCTGATAGAGACTGTTGGAACCCTTGAGACTATGACCCTTAGACACCCTTTAAGCCTGGAACTGAACCCACCCCTGGGGCTCAACTTTTTAAGCCAAACAATAGACAGGCCTATTGAAACTCTGGGAGTTCTGGTGGCATAGTGCCTAAGGCATTTGACTGCTAACCAGAAGGCTGGTGGTTCAAACCCACCAGCCACTCCTCAGGAGGGAGACTGGGCAATCTACTTCCGTAGAGATACCGCCTCAGAAACCCAAGGAAGGATCCCTATGAGTCAAATTGACTCAATGGCAGTGAGTTTATTGGAACTCTGGTTGCTTATTGATTGACACACTTGACTGCTAACCGAAAGGTCAGCAGTTTGAAACCACCAGCTGATCCTCAGGTGACAGATGAGGCAGTCCACTTGCATAAAGACTGACAGCCTGGGAGACCCTGTGG